GCTAGAACATATCATATCTTCATCTATTTAAAATTAGCATTTGAACTTTAATTGTAAATTCCTTATGTTCAGTATACCCATATACTCCTTCTTGTCTCCCCAGAAATGTGACCTCAGTGTCTATACCACTGCTGAATCTATGTCATTTGCAAACATGGGAAGAACTACAAGGAGAAAAGAATGAAAGGAGAGTGGAAAGGAAAAAAATTATAAGGAAAAGAATATAATCAATCTCGTTGGAAATAGTTTTTTTTTAATTTCTAATAATTTTAAGTAATTATTTAAAATTAGCAGCGCAGATATTAAAAAGCACATTTACTCTTAACACTTCTGTAGAAGGAGTCTGCATATATACAATACTTAAAATTCAAATACCAAAAAGCTTGATTGAATTATCTAACTTTCACACTCAAACACACATGCTCATTTCTTTTTGACCCAGGGAAAAAAGTCAATTTCCAGTGGTGAGAAGGTCACTAATTTTTGTTATGAGAATCTGAATGCTTATTAATTGAAAGTCTAATATGTAACTATATATTTATTATATATTTATATATTTATTATGAAATTTGATTTTGATTTTCAAAGTTAATTCAGGATTCTCACATGTATAGAGACATATACATGTATGTAATATACGCACAGATGAACATACGGAAAGTGATGTTTTCACAAACTTACTGTTTTAAAGTTTGACCTGCTCCTTTCTGAATTTTGCTTTCTCTTTTCGTTTTATTTTTACCATGAAAACACTTATTTTGCATAATTAATGGCACAAAAATTTCTTCCCTGTTTTATTAATTCATTTTATTTGACTCAGTTTTTTAAAAAGAAGGAAAGTTATTTTGTTAAGCGATTGTACTATGTATTAACTAACTTGTGAACTGATTGTATCCTTTGAATTTGTTTTTCCAACGCCAGGAAATACGATCCTTGGACAGGAAAGATAAATCTAAGGAGAGAGCGTCCTCATTCTGAGAGGCACAGTCTGGCGCTCTGCTCGGGGCGCAGCCGGCCCCAAATCCTGTGCAGCGAGCGCCCCCGTGAGGACAAACTTCACCCGGAGACTTACCGCTTCCTGTTGCAAACACCTCGGCTATAGCAGTAAATGGTGAGAACCAGCAGCTAGAAACCAAAGCAACATAAAAGGAATCATTTTTCCCTTGCGGGCTTCCAGCCCCCTGCTCATCTGCTCCCCACAATCTTCTGGCTCCGGAAATGTCCCCCGCGTCCACTCTGGAGGCTATCAAGAGTTTCAGCGCTGGCGCAGCGTTTGGGCTTCTGAGCACATCCCATTACAGCACTTTGGTTAGCATATTGTATCTTAATTTTCTTGGTATCACTAACATTACAATACTTTAGCACACAGAATTTGCAGTGCATTCTTGACAAAGGAATAAATCAGCTGCTACTCTCATATCAATTTTATCAACTTCCAATAAATTTAAGTTTCTATTCTTTCCTTTATCCTTGTTCTGATGGCATCTGTATCTACAAGCACATGCTAAAATTGGCAGGAAATAATTCTCATAAAGTACATTAGCAGCATCTGTTCTGAATTATGTTTGTATTTACCTGCTTGTTATTAAATGATATTGTTTGCACATGAACAATTTCCTCAATTTAGTTTACAAAAACTCCTTAAGGTAACAAATACATTTTCACACACCCAGAGATGCATCTGACACAAAGTCAAAATTTAAAAGAATTAGTCAGTAAAATATGGGTAGACGAGCTGACAGAGTGTTTGTAAATGTCAAAAGCTCTGGAACAAAAGTCAGTGTTTCCTGACATGAGGCCAGCTGTCTCCATGGCCTTTCCTGTGGCTTCCTGGATCCACCTTCCACTTCTGGCAAGTCGAGAGGAGTGTGTGTCCTCTGACACTCCTGGCGCTGGGCTCCCGGAAGGCCGAGTGTGCCCAGGGGCTGTGCTCACAGAACCCTCCGCTCTGAGTTTTGAATGAAATGAATTATGAAAACTTAGGCACAGATATTTTTTCTTTCAATGTTTATTTCATCTTCAGACTCAATCTTCATCAAATTACCAACTACAGAAAGACATTTATCCCTTTTGAAGTCATGACTTGATTCATCAGAGAAATAAATATAACCTGGAGAAATACTGAGGTTTTGATATTATTAAGATCAACCTAGTTTAGGATCCTAATGATATCTTTGATATTGTGTTCCTCTTTTTAATGATGGCAATCATTTAAATTGATTATCATAAATAAGAACCCATAATGTAATGTTATTTCTGAATTTCATTTATCTTAACGTTTTACTAATCAGATATAATTTTGCTATCTCATAACAGCTATGGCCTATCATTGTAGAACCTCAAAGCTGTCTTCTACCTACCTTATGTATTAAATAAATAGTAGCTGTAGTAAATTTAAGGTGTAAAACTTTGTCCAGAAACACTACAATTAAAGTAATAGAGACAAGTAAATTTAAGACTTTTTAAAAAAAATACACAGATTAGCATGCATCTTCTTTCGTCTTTAAAAAATACAAATTAAAACCAGCATGATGTACAACTGTGTGCATGACAGATTAGCCAAAAGCAAAAGGACTGAAAAACCCAAATGCCCATTGGCGGCGTAGTAGCTGGAGCTCTCACACATTGGTAGTGGAAGGGGCAAGTGACCTGAAATACTACTGCAGCAAACTGCTGCGCACATTTTTAAATATTAGTTGTGCATTTTCTGTACCACATAATACCATTCCTGTCTTATCCAAGAAAAAAATAAAACATGTCTTCAAAATTCCTTGTACAAGCAGTAACATTGGGCATTTTTATCCATATACTTTCAAGCCAAACATATCTGGATTGTCTTCGATAGAAGATGGATGGCACACTGTGTATAATCAAGCAGTGGATGACACAGAAACCTCTTGAGCAACACAGACAAATCTTAAAAACATGCTGCCGTGTGAGTGAAGCTAGATCCCGCAGAGTGAGCGCCACGCAGTCACAGCAAGTGTTCTGCTAACCCTGCAGCAGCCTCAGCAGTGACCCAGCAGTGACCCAGCAATGACCCTGGGAAAGGGTCAGAGGAGGCTTTCTGGGTGGTGGAAATTTTAAACACATCTGCCCTGATATCTAACAACTGACACAACTAAGCTACTTTATGATCCCTAATTACAACTCAAGTCACGTATTGAGTTGAAAAACTGAGCGACTGAATCTTCGTCCTCCCGAAACCAAGCTGTGAATTAGGCCTCCTGTCCCAAGCCCTCCACCACCCTGCGCTACACAAGCCAGTTACTTTGACGCAAGGAGATGTGTGAGCTCAGAATCCTTTAATATGTAATAATGTAACATTTTTACTGTTTTCAGAATCAAAAACTGTTACGTTTTGAGTTTTAAGATAAGATTGCTTTCATAGATTTCTCAAAGCATTCCAAAATATATATCATAAATTAATTCTTCAGTTTAGAAAAAAATTGTTAGGAAACATTAGTAAGACATTGTTCACCACCCAGAGTAATTCAGTGTGGGGTTTGTTCCCTACCAAGGACTGTCTTCTTTCTCTCAGACTCAGAAATGAATGAAAGTTCCAACCATTTCCAAGGTGCTGGTATTCAGCAATCAGTGAATTAGCTCTTTTAATTAGTGAATTCATTAGAACTAGTCAATTTTGTTCTTTTGTTTTCTTAAAATTTTGTTCAATATATGTACTGCCTTTTAGGATAATCAAACAGTATGAAATAGTAATTTTTAAACTTGACTGGTACACATTAGTTACACAGAACGGTGTGTTTTACCTTGGCACATTCACACATGATACAATGCACCTTATTTTCAACTCTCTGCTGATTTACATCCCTTCATCCTCTCTGATACCACACTTTCTTAAAGACAACTGACATTTCTTTACTTCTAGCTCAATTAACTAACCTTCAATTTTTACTTGCATTTTTCTGAAGCACTTAGTCTTTCATTTGTTTGTTTTTTTAAGATTTACCCCTCAGTTCTCTCAGCTTTGCAAACGCACTCACCCTTCTGTTCTACGTGACTCATACACCTCAGGACGTTTCTGCTGTACAGAGTCTCGGGGAAATGTCAGTATCTTCACTCTCAGCTGTGCGTGGGCTTTGTACACAGAGAATATTTTGAATAGTTTTAATTTATTGCAAACGTGTTTTAAAATGTTTTAGAGAACAAATTTTAAATGCAGGTGACAACAGCAGGCCTTTTGCCTCACAGGGCAGTTGATAAACTGAGTGTTAGCTTTTCCCTGTGGCCAGGCCTCACTGTGGGACGACCCTGGGAACCAGCTGCCTGCCTCTCTCGGAAGCTGCCTTGGGTGCCCCCTCACCTCACAGTCACTTGGGCTGCTTTATATTGGACCCCCCAGAAAACTAGGTGCCAACTCTCCACATGTATGGTATTGTTAGCCATTAAACATTATAAATTGGATGAAATATGTCTATTACTACCATATGAACATAGAAATGTCTAACAGAAGAAAGTAAATGCTTATGAAAGTTACTATTATTGAGTAAGAGAACTGAATTTCCCTTTATATCACCTATACTTGCACATGATTAAACCTCTTTTTACTGTTGAAAAATTGTAAACCGTGGGCAAAGAACATATTGTTTAATCTCTACATAAAATTCTAATTAAAATATCAAAAATTTTATTGCAGACTGTCATTCTAGGTGCCATGACCTAGAGGAAACTGCCTCTAGGAAAAATACAAACTTACTTTGGACAACATAACTAATTCATGGCAGAAGCGAACTACACAAACACAGAACACAGATAAGTATTATGCATTATAACATCCTTGTTTCATGTTATCGTGTTCTAAATCAACCTGAAGGGTAGTAATCCTTGGAATAAGTGGTACAAGAACAGATGGAGAAACAATTTCTAATCATCATAACTTCTTAGAATTCAAAGCCTTTTTAGGTATTTGAAAACCACACAATTACCATACAGTGGAGTATCAGGGTTTAAATAGTGCTGTGCTAACTCTGTGCAGAGCTACCTGGCCTTCTTGTCTTCCACTTGGGAAATAAGGTAATATTTTCATTTTCTTGGTTGTTCTGTGTGACAAATAATATTGTTAAACTTACTAGTGTTCTACAAAAATTCTAAAGAAATAAATATAATCATACCTTAAATTGTTTTGAGAAATTGTTTTATAATAATTTAAAACACCTAATGATTTATTTTCTTTCGATATTGCTTGATGGAATTAGCATAGAGAAATTGGGAACTGTCTATTATACTGCTCTATCTTATGAAAAAATACCATATTTTAAAGACAAGGTCACCATAAAGAAGCCTGTGGAAATCCAACCATTCTTTCTTGACTCACTTCCTAAAGTACTTTATTTGTCTGACAGCCAAAACATTTACCTAACAGTTTTTCTGGAGACAAGATGTAATATATATATATATATATATATATATATATATATATAATACCTAGCATAACATCTGAGATGGAATAGATACTTAGTAATTTCACCTATGATTGACTACATTTTTATTGTACCATTCTAAAAGCATTTCTTTAACTTCCACTTACCATTTGTCTGTGTTCTAATTTCTTTCATCTATGGAATATGAAATGTATAACAAAAATTAAATTGAACTGCCATATATACTAAAGTAATTTCAGACATCGAGGAAATTAAATAATATATATATACATATCTTCTAGTTCCATGTATAAAAGCATATATAGCTGAGATACTGTATGACATTAATAATAAATATTAAAAGATTAATAATTGATTTAGGCAATGCAAATCATTTTTAAGAACGAATATAATTCTATTTGTACACACTCTAGATTTGTATAATTACAGGTCACTGGCATATTTAATAGTTTGAGGAAAGAAATGTATCTGTTAACAATAATTATTTGTAGGACATAAACTACAAGATAATATTATATACCAAAAATGCATTAGAATACTTTTATTTCAATTATCAGTTTACCAGAGGAAAAGCTTGTGCATCTGCATGCAGTTGTAGTGTTGGAGAGCGAATGAGCTGACGGCGTTTAGAAACTTCATAAAGCCTCTCATTAACCTGAGCATGAAACTAGGGGCAGCGGCACTCGGTGCCTGCCCACTTCTCAGAACCCAGCTCTAGGTCAAACTGTGACCCTGAGGGACTCTGAGCCTTCCACCCATCTCCACTTCAGTCTGTTGGCTGACGGAGCCATATGATCTCGTGCAGCACAGCTGAAAACGGGTTTACAAATGAGCTCCCTTTGAACTTTGCACTTTTGGTCATTGTTTGCATCAGCATGGGAGAGAATTTGTGAATAAAATGGTCTGAAAACCATCTATCAGGTGCATCACTGCAGCATCAAGTCAGTGATAGTAATCTGGCATGTGGTAGCAAGTACTCATCGAGTAGGCTAATAAACAAACCGATTATACACAGAGCCAGTAATCTTAGTAATTTCGTAGGACTGAAAGGATTTTTCACATTTTAGAAGCCAAGTTTTTTATTATAATGTTAATAAATTTCTCCTTAAAAAGAATTTGTCATATTTGTATTCATGTGATTGAATTTGTTTCTGTCAACCTTCAGTTCCTTTTCCCTGCTATTTGAGACAAAAATGAAAGGATACATAATGAACAATGACACAGGATTCTTAAGGACGGTAGAATATTATTGCTTGTCTATTTTACAGGACTCAGTAACCATGAAGCTCTTCATCTTCACCTGCCTCTTGGCTGTGGCTCTCGCAAAGCACGTAAGTGATGCCCTATTTATGAAAATCTGTTACCCAAATATCAAACAACAAACCCATTATAAGAGGGGGTTCCAGCCACGGGCAACAAGAGATAGAGATGAAGGACGCAACCCTCTAAACCTAGAGTCAAAGAAAACCTTGGCCCTCTTTACAGGACATATGCAGGCAGATGCGCTCTTTATAGAGAATTTTCCTGGTAAGGTTAGGGGCTGATTTAGTTATAGGTTACAAGGCATTTGCTTCCTTTGACATCTGTTTGAATTTACCAGAGGACTAGTTTCACGCCCCTAGTATATTTATCTGATAGCACAAGAAAGCAACAAATAAAAACCCAGATTTGAAAAACTATATCTAAAACACATGACACACCATTCATCTTGATCTCAGTAATCCAGAATCTGAGATGATTAGATAAGAAACATGGGTAACTTTTAAATACTTGCCAAATAGCATAACACAAAACAGTTCTATAACTTCCCAAAGCATCATCTTCTTTAGGTGAGAGTACTGTCATGAAATTCACCTTGCAAAGCGCTGAGCTCAGTACTGTATGTAAAGTGTTTTTAAAACACACCAATCATCTACTCACTGGTCAAGAGTATTCAGCGTCTCCCCTTCCCCAGGAACCCACACCCCGCCTCTTGTTCCCTCCCTGGATATCACCCCGGCAGTGCAGGACGACCCCTGAGGTGTTCAGAGTTCTCTGCCTCCCCTGTGACTCCACATCTCACACGTCAGTCTTGACAAGCATTTGTCATTTCTTCTCTCTTTTAGAGCTAATGCAATGACAAACTTTGAGTTTCAGTTAGAGCCAGGTACATAGAGCACCCCTGACCACGTCTCAGGGGCCACCTTACCCTCGGTGTCCCCGTGCGGGCATCACACCTGCCCCCTGCTTTCTGTCTTTCTCTCTATCAGTAAATGCCCTCAATGTTCCCTACACCAGAGCAAACTCATCCAGCTAAAACTACAGCCGTGTCCGGCAAGTGTTAGATCGGAGGCAAAAAATTAGATTTTACTACAATCTAATTGGGATCAGAGGTACAGAGTTACGTTTGTACAACTATTCATACTGAGAAATGAACTTAATTCTCATCATTCCTGTTACTGATAGAAGTGCCAGACTAGTACTTTTAATAAAAGCATTGTAAACTAGATGAGATAAAATACAGCATTCCAGCATTAAATCATCTTAAAATTCTTTGGGAACATCTATGTATATACAAAATTCCAATCTGTGACAAGATTAATACTTAAACACGGAGACCTGAACCACTTCCTGAAACCAAGAATTCTAGTGAGCTATAGCAGGAATGTATCTGAAGTACCTATCATTTGCTTATTAATATTGCAGGAAAACAAAAGAATACTATAAAGCAACTTCATTCAACTATAGGATCCCAGAAATCTATACAAAATTTCCCTACCAGAACACACACACACATATGCACACACACGTGCACACACACACACACAAAGTGACAGCTTCACATTTTAAATAAGCCATAAAAGTGAAATTTGCACTTTTTTTTTTATAGAAGACAGAGCAACAGTCCTCCAGTGAGGTAAGACATTTTAATATAAAGACAAAATCCTTTAATTTGGTAAACACATGATATACCCTAAACCAACAAGTGTGCATGTGAGTGTGTGTGTGTACACACGCACACATTCCATTCTACATTTCTGGAGCCAGAACTCAGGCTGCTCTAGGTATGTATAAAATGCTGATTTCCAAATGGCTTCCAGAGCCTGCATTTACAGCCAATACCTAGAGATGCCCTTACCAGTCATTGCAAGGACTTTGCTGTTTTTCAGGTCCTAAAAAAAGAAAAGAATAAAAAGGTGTGGGGAGGGGTTAGAAATTGTGCACAGGAAGCAGAAAATATTTTCTTTTGGTGTTTAATACTTAAGAAAACTCTGTTTCTCTTGTTTGTAAACCAAAGTTGATCAGGAACACTGCGTGGTCCTGTACAGAGTGAAGCTTCAGCCAGCTCTGTCCTCAGTACAGACACATATTACCTGCCTGCGGGGCTGGGTGGGCACTGAGGCTTTGCAGCAGTCCTAAATGCAATGAGGTAAATAATTACTATTTCTTTTTAACTTTTCTAAGGAATCTGTCAGCATCTCCCAGGAAGTAAGTTTTTTAATTTCTTAACTAAAATATATATTAACTTTTTTTAGTAAATCAAGATATTAAAATAAAACTTTATTTTGTAGAAATTTAAGGACAAGAATATGGACACTATTTCTAGTGAGGTAAAATTCAATTACTTTGGTCTATTAATCTTTGATGAATACCTGTTTCTGTAAAACATAAGTATGTCTCACTCAACAAAAAATGAGTTATTTAACTATAATTGTGAAAATATTTATCTTTTCATTGTTTTACCAAAATGTTATAGACCAGTGTAAATGAGTATCCAGGAAAGACTTGCTGGCTGTTTGTTTCCTCGTGCGATTAAAACAGAAAGTATTTGAAAGAATTTATTCTTCATGGCCCATCAGCTTCATTCTGCCTCCCTACAAAGTTGTGTTTTCTTTGCTATTACTTTAGGTAAAAATATATTATGTTGTAATTCAATAAATCATATATCATTCTTCTTTTTTTTTCTTCTTTAGGAGACCATTTGTGCCTCCCTCTGCAAGGTATGTATGATACAGAGAACATAAAGGAAAAATAGTGTTGCTTTGAGCAAAATTGAAATTAATTTGGATTAGGGAAATATATTTTGTCTTTCAAATTTGTAAACCATGATTATTATTAAAAATAAGGGCAAAATTAATTTTCTTACTTCAATCTGTAAATAATTCTATTGAAGAAAACACTTTTTTGCAAAAATCAGTTAACATACTTTATTATGAGATTCCATGAAAACTAGACAATCTCTTACTAAGAGTTAAAAATATTTCTTTCGATCTTTACATACTCCTTTCTCCATTTTATTTTCCTGTTTCAGTAAAGATGCATTGTTGCTCTTGAAACTGGTTCATCAAAATTTAAATCAGTATGTTTATAATAGAAGCATAATTTGTTACCAAAAATACATTCACTGGCTATTCTGATATAGTTCAACATGACTCAAAAACTGAAAATAATTCTGTTCTCATGCTTTACATTAGGAGGAGGGATTTCTCCCTTGTGTTCAAGAGAAAATATTTTATAAACAATGCTATAGAGAAAATACATCTAATTATTTTTCTTTTTTATTTAAGGAAGCTACAAAGAACACACCTAAAATGGTAAGAAACTTTATTTGAATAATTTTTATTCTTTCAATATGTGAAATTTAGTATTAATGGCATCTGGGAAAATCTTTAGTTTTTACTTTATTAAGCTAGAAAATGATTAAACTTGCTTTAAAATGACAATTTATCCTTTCCCACATTAATATTAACTTGAGACACTTCTTAAAAAATAAAGTGCTTTATCTCTTATTTGGTTACCAAAGTTGATCACTAATTGCAGTGACAAAACCTGATTTTATTTTTTCCTTCAATCCTTTTAACTTATATTAATGAGCATATAGATAATCTGAGAACTATTTGAAATAAACTTTAAATAAATAATGAGGGTTTAACGCAGTCACCATATTTTAATTATTATTTATTATTTCTCAAGGCATTCTTTAGCAGATCTTCTAGCGAGGTAAGAGATACTTTCTTTTCACCCCAAAATCAAGTGCATTCAGAGAGAGCAGGTTTCTAGCAGTGACACTGTACAGGAAATTGTTACCCAAATTTAATGTGATTGTGGAAAGATTGAAACCGACGCAGTGAACACTGGTTTCCTGTGCCATTTCTTTGACAAGCGTATGAGAGGAGATGAAAGTGCAGGGTACCTCAAGCCTGGGTCAAGTCAGAAGCAGAGCATTGGCCCTCAGAAGCCATGCGCTGTTTCCCGGAGCGCTGGTTCTCAAAGCACAGCCCACAGCTGGCAGCAAGGTGCTCCGAAGCATCTTAAAATCTGAAGGAGGGTCAGCTAGGTCATCACTACAAGGAAGCCCCACCACAGTTGAGATAGTCAGCAGCTCATCATGATGCACAAAGGCATCCGTGCAGGACAGAGCACAGCCTGGAGGCTCTCGGTGCACACTGAACTCTCCTCCCAGGGGCCAGGAACCAACCTTCATCTTCTAAGATGCAAGCACCAGGGCCGAAGGGAGTACCAGGGGTCACGTACAGGTAGCGAGTGCATCCCCTAGAAAACACGAGGACTGTGGGCACATGCGTCGCCCGCCGTGTGTGCAACACTTTGGGTCACTTCCTCTCTTCTGGGGGCCCTGGAGATTGAGATTGTATAAAGTAGGCATAATTAATGAAAACTTTCAAGCAAAAAATATATTTTAGTCATGAAATGTTATTTTGATATAGAATGACAGCTCAGAATATAAATGTTTTAATTTATTACGTTTCTAATAAGCAATGTAATTTCTCAGTAGTAATGGACTGGGCCATAAATGCTGAATTGTCTCTTGTACACTAGTACGAATCCATGACTAAATCATACAACTAATGTTAATTCTTCTTTCCTAAGGAATTTGCTGACATTCACAGAGAGGTAAGTGATTTTCCCTCAAACAATGTGGTAATGAATTCTCTGATGTTTTGTGGGATTTTATACCATTTTTTTTCTTACCACAACATTAAATTCACTGTGGAAGAAAAGCACTACAGAAAACAAATGTAATTTTCTCTTAAGTAACATACAGCCATTCCTTCAAATGTTCACGCAGTTTGCTCCATCCCTGTTGGACATTTACTCCCCGAATTTGTAGAAACTAATGTATCTTCCTATTCTCATTTTTACCATTTCTAACTAATATACTATCAAATAGACATGGATATTTGTGCTAAGAAGAATAAGTAAGCTATTATCCAACTGATTTGAAAATAATTAAGATATCAGTGCAGTCATTTTGCATTATTACTCATTAAATTTCACAATACTATCATAAATACATATCTACAAAAAAAGATTTCAAGGACACGGATGTTTGTGTAATTTTTCCTGTGGTCTAGAGGACTTTACTGTGTGCACAGGGAAATACTATATGATACTAATTCCAAAATTTATAGCAGAAATATTTAAAAATAGGGCATTCTAAATAAGACACTCTTAAGGAAATTTTAATTGTTTTAAGAGTCCTTCCTTGTATTTTGAGAAAATTCTTGAAGTAGCATTCTCACTTTATGCTACCTTTAATTATGTTTCTATTAACAAATATCCCAAGGTAATTGTAAAGTTTCATTGAGTTTCTAGGAATCTGTTTATTTTCACTCACTATAAAACAAAAATTCTTCTGAGACAAGATGCTTTTTTGATTTCATATTTAATCTCGAAAAATACCTTAATGAAGTCAGGTCCAAAGGTCTGGGACTTACCAGCATGTTAACTAGCAAAATGCTGTGTACTGTTTATTTTAACTGGTGTCATCCTCCATTACGTTTGCTGTGATAAAAAAGTTTAATCAGAGTCATGGTTTCCAGTGTCCATGGTCACACAAATTAAAGTTTGGTTCCTTTTCATTTCAAGGACCACACAAGTTTCTGACACAGATAAAGAAAAAAGAATGATAAACTTTTTGAAATGAGCACACAGAAAGAAAAGAGACATTGTGTAATGCAATATTTTTCCTTCTTTATACAAACGTCTGGTTATTTAAAGCAGATTTGTTTCCTCTGTAGAACCCTAAATAATGCCTTTATCTCTATAACCACCTATCAATGTTCACAGTTACAATCAATGTATGTATCTTAACTATTCTTGTGCTGGGTACATTTTCCACCATACATAAATTATTCAAAGTTCACTGAGTGCTACTAACATTTATTTGGGGCTATGGAAAGCAAAGTATGTAAATACTGATGATTCTCTTCTGCAGAACAAAAAAGATCAACTTTATCAGAAGTGGATGGTACCCCAGTATAACCCGGATTTTTACCAACGTCCCGTTGTCATGAGCCCGTGGAATCAGATTTACACAAGACCCTACCCCATTGTGCTTCCCACTTTGGTGAGTTCTGTGTTTTGGGAGGGCAGGAAGCACACAGAATGTAAAATCAGATACCTTAAATTTTAACTTAAATAGTAGAACAACTGTGAATAATAAAATCTCTTAGTCTAGAAATGAAGTTTCAAACAATATAATTCAAATACAGTAACAGCTGTAGCAATTGTGACATAAAAGTAATTGTAATATAATAGTAATTTAAATGTAATATACATGTCTTAAATAATTGTTCAGATATCATGTTACTTGGTCCCTCAAAATATTACTTAACATAAGAGAAGGTAGAACTTATTGTCTTAATCTAATGATAACAAAAAGTTATAATGTAATGTAAGAAAATGCAAGAAATAAATTTCCAAGCTCTAAGTAACATTTCCATTTGTTTCATAAAATGATTTTGTCTTAAGGAATATTTTTTTACATGAAGAATAATCACATCTGTTCTTGGCCTTTTCATCACAAACAAAAATTGCACTTTTTTCTTTTAATACAGGGCAAAGAACAGATCTCCACCATTGAGGTAAAGCAGTTTTCCATGAGGCAATTTTCTATGAATCCCTTTGTAACTAGCAAGATGTTACATAGTGTGCTAGATTGGATTTATCTTCACTTTCTTAAGCAATTACTCTAAATTTAAGGAATCCGGGAGAGCTGAACAACAACCTTGTAGAAAAATCAGGGGGACAGACCGAAAACACACACACCCAAGGATTCAGATAGAAATGTGATAAAAGATACCACCAAACATTTTGACACTATTTCCTTTCTAAAGGCATCCTTTAATATCATCATTACCCTGGGAGAGTGTGCTCCTGAAATTTTATAAATAAAATGAGAGGAATCACATGTGTGTTTCCTTTAAGCACTTTGTCAAAGTTAGGTATTACTGAAAGGGTACTCCTGGCCCATTTCTTGCTGTTTTTCTAAAGAACGCTAGAATGGCACTATATCCCTTTGAAACAGGACACAATTTTTAAAAATATTTTTCAAGAACAGAGCTCTCAGTACAATCCTAGGAGACCATCCTCCAAAATTTAAGAGATGCAGCAACTGAATTGTAATGTTTTTGATCAAAACCAGAAGTAAAGCAGACTTAGAACAGGTACAAATATCAAGCATTATTTGGAAAATAAGTCTGGCACAGTGGAACACATCTGTAATTCCTACATTCAGAAGGCTGAGGCAGGAGAATCCTTGCAAGTTTGAAACCTGCCTGGACTACAAAGTGAGCTGAAAGGCTAAAACTCCATCTCAGAAAGACAAAAAAAAGAAAAAAAAAAAGAAAGAAAAAAAAAAGAAAGAAAGAAAGAGAAACAAAACAAAAAAAAAAAGAAAGAAAAGCTTTTCTTTTTTAAAATTTATTATTTTAGGTTTTTCAGGCTAATAGGTATAGTATTACATCAGTATTTGAATACATCAAAGGTATTCTGTGTAAAAATACAATAATATTAGTCTAGTATTACTCATCCACCTGTGCAGTATCCCCTTGCAGGCCCCCTGGCCAGCAGGTTGGACAGATTCCCGTAACCACACTCAGCTTCTCAGCACCTCGCACCCCTCGTCTGTATGCTCAGAAATGCAGGAAAGTCAGTTGCTGTTTTCGTTCCAGCCCATGATACAGTGGATTTTAATTTAAAACCAGTGAACAGTTTACTAGGTAGGGAAATGTCGCCATTTCATGCAGATCAATCTTCTGAAAAGAATTATTGAATTAATCTGAGTCTACTAGATATTTGAACACATAAAAATTAAAAATCATTTCTATGTTCCATATCCTTGCTCTCAGAAAAATTAATGTATTTTATTTTTGCCTATTAAATGCAAGCAGGCATATGAGTATAGGCACAAATATATGCATATATTTTTCTTAGAATATCCTTTTCCTATAAACTGATTTTCCTCTTACTGATGACCACTGAAATTTTGAGTACGATAACTCAGAAATAATGAAGGCAACTACTTGTAAGAATATGATAAATAATCAATTAAAAAGATTTAATCATATGTAAACCAATTGATCAAGCTGAATTTGTCACTTTCCATAAGGAATAGAAACCTGATTGTTGAGTGACTTTTATTCTTTATTCTTTAAATTTTTTTAATTAATTACACTCTAGAGTGTGGCATGAAGGCTCACACTTTGTCATCTCAGCATGTGGGAGGCTGAGGCAGGAAGATTTCAGCAAGTTCTAGGAGAGCATGGGATACTTACTGAGTTCAAGACCAGTCTGCAGCCCTTAGTGAGGACCTAGCTCAGACTTCATGGAGTCCTCACGGCCATCACCGCTGAAAGGTTTCTAGCACACACATTAGTAGTGGCACCTGCAGCACAATCTCCTTTCACAGCGTTGAGAATGTTGCATGATTTAGTTTTTCTAGCTCCTGTTACAACTCATTTGGGTTTGTTTTATGTTTGAAAATATTTATTTCTAATTTTAATATATATTTGGGTGGACTCATGTTTTTCCAACACACGAGAATTCACAGTAGCTTTTTGCTGAGTTTAGCTGGTGGTTCTGAAGTAATACTGCAGATTTCAGCGCAGTTCTAGGAACTCTTCTTGCCTGTTATTAAGAAGATCTCTGCTCCAAGCAGGCTACAGTACGTGCAATGAGAGCAGCCCCAGATCACTTCATCAAGAGGAAGGAGCTAGTAGGTTTATCAGTACTTGAAAAACGTGCTTTTTAACCTCCCTAACACACCCATGTGTGATTTCCACCATGGATGGTTTTCTGAGTTCATTAGAGGTGCAAATAAAAAAGATTTTTCCAGCTCTGAAAGAACTCATTGATGGCAGAGATGGTAAGAGGCAGATTAACAGCAAGGAGGAGATCAGACCCCAAGAAGAAACCCCACCTGTGGTCACCGCAACACTGGGACCCGGGCACTGGGCAAGCAAGGATTTCACAAGCGAGTGACAAGGGAGAGAGGGACCAGCACCCACACGTCTTGCTTTTTGCTTGCAAGAGTAGCTTCAAAGAATTCAGGTCTTCTCTGGTAGGGAATCCCTGCACTAGGTACTTTTTCCTTTAAATTTGGACTCTATTAAATTTCGAGCTTTACCATGTGATTTGCCCCTTTACCTACCTAAACTATACTTTATTTAATATTTTCTTGAAATTGCTCATTTGAAAATTAGTCATAGAAATTTGATGCATATATATTTCACTCGACTCACACATTTGATTATACAGCCATTTTGAAAATAAACATAATTTTTTAATTATCACAATATGTCAATTTAAATTATTTGCGAACAATCTTTTGAATGCATTCACTCATTTATTCATTTTCTAGAAGATACATTTAATAAACACTGTGTTTCTTACATATTTGCATACCTGGTGAATACAGAAGTGATTAAAAGAAGAAACACAAATGGATTTATATTTCCTTTGTTAGCTTTACAAATAAAGAATGTTCTTGCATATGTCCAAGAGGAAATGATACACAACCAACAGAGTAAAAATAATGTATCTAACTCTTTTATTATTTCTTTTAAGGACATCCTAAAGAAGACTACTGCTGTGGTAATGTATTATTTCTATGTGAAGTTATATGTCACTCCTTTTCTAAAATCTAACATCAAAATATACATGCTTTTTAAATATTCTTTTAACAGGATAGAATATTCACTTTTAAAATATTTTATTTTTAAATGGCACACATATTATACAAGATACAGAGCATACAGTTATATATCAACACATATATGCAATGTGTAATGATCAAATCAGGGTAATTTGATATTAACATTTCAAGTTATTTAAAAATATGATTCCTTGCGATCCTTTGCCTGAAGTTGTCTCAACTCATCTGAATTGTTTTTGTTAACACCTATCACGTAAGCAAGACCCTTCTGTAGTGGTGCTTTCAAAGTGGTGCTTTCTTTTTTTAAAAAAAAAATCAGGTTTTTAATGCTTTTTAAACTAATAATTTAACTAGTAATTAGTCTTACCATATTGCTTCCTTGTATATGAGAAAGCGCTTCTATTCTACAAATACTGAAAATATTTTGCTAAAGACTCAACTACTATTCCTAGGTTTTATGATTATTAATTATTATTTTATTGTTTTATTTCTCTAGGAATCCTCTAGCAGTTCATCTACGGAGGTAAGTGACTTTTAAAATCAACTAACCAGCAAGTTCATTGAGAAATAGTTTTCCTGCTGTTGGGTAATTATTTTAATAAATTAAATGTTGCTAAATTTTAGCAGCACTACAGCAAAATATACCGTAGAAATAAAGGAAAGGCCTCATAGGAAATAAACCCAAGCTCAGTGAGAGGTGAGAAAGGGGCCCCCTCCACCGCCCTTCCGCCTCACACTCAGACAAAGCGCAGCACATGCTGGGCCTTGGAAATACCACTTTTTAACGACACCGAAGTTTAATCGGGACTGCCTTCACCACAGCTTTATCCAAAACCGTCTCTCCTTAGCTTGCCACGCTAGAAAGGGGCTGGATTGTGAGCTGCGTAAATCTGTTTCCATAAACACCTGCTGCCTGCCTGAGCACAGCGGACAGCACCCTGCCCTGGAGAGCTTGGTCACAGGCCGGTGCGGCCACAGGCAGGCTGACTGCCCTCTCTCAGAGCTTGGGGTGTGCTTTGCTGGAGAAGCACCACAGTCTCCAGGAGAGGGCACGCAGACTCCAACTCAGTGAGAGCAGTGATCCCTCCCCTTCCTTCCTGTCCCCCCTCCTCTCCTGTCTCCCCTGCCCTGCTCCTCCTTCTCCTATAGTTTAGGAAATATGACATTTCATTACATGAACAGTGAAGATAATGTAATCAACCAAGCACCATTACGTTAAAGAAAAGCTTTCTCTGATAATGAGTATTTAAACTCATTTAATGCATATTAAGTTCCTGTAAGGTAGGACTTTGATTTTTGGTAACAATGGCATGGCCTTGCAAATCTAGCCCTAACTCCCTAGTGCTGCAGATAAATTACTGGTGGATTATAAAGCTGATTTTCATTTTCTTTCTCTAAGAAATCCACTGACGTATTTATTAAGGTGAGTCATTTTCCTTCGCTGAGATTATCTAACGTATACCCAGAATACTTTCATTTGTATCTAATAATATTTTTTATTATTAACAGAAAACTAAGATGGATGAAGTACAAAAGCTTATCCAAAGTCTCCTGGTGAGTTTTCATTACAAACATTCACAACACAACTCAACACTGTTTATACATTTTCAAGTTGCTGTTTTTATGACAAAAGAAAACTATTTTAAATAAATTCCAGTTTCCCTGTGTCTTCCTTATGCCTGTGAAAACTGTTACAGAAGTATTTATCCTCTATATTAATTATATCACAGGGAGGTATCTGCCCAACTGTTATGCTCTGGGAATTCTGAAACACATTAATTTTCCACTTCATAAAAATGGGGCCAGGGATATGGCTCAGCAGCACAGCGCCTGCCTGGCAAGCATGAGGCTGTGAGTTTGAGTTATAGTACCAAAAAAAAAAAAAAAAAAAAAAATGGAAGTGTATCCCAAAGAAGGGTGCCGCTGTTTAATTACAATTTGAATCCCTACAGTAACCTCTGACCAGGCCATTTAGAGAGTTCAAAACAGAAGGAAAGGAGCGGAGTGCCTGGGGATCAGAAGCTGCGTGACAGGCACCCAGCAAACGCTCTCTCTGTATTAATTCACTTACGTCTGCAAGATAAATAACTGAGAGATGTGACTTGGCTCAAGGTCACGGGGTCTACTAATAAATCCACATTCTCCCTGATTCTAAGGACTGGTTTTTCTGCTGGACATGGAAGAGAAACAACCTGAGACATTTAGTAAATCAGGACATTTCCTTTCACATAAGCATTTTGGCCTTAAGAGTCTGAATTCACCACATGATTCTTTCAGTACCAGAGTTCATCCTGAGAATGTAGACAGAGTTAATGGTATACAAATAATCTTCCTTTTGGTTAGGTCTATTTGGTATCATTTAGAACTTAACCAAATATAGTTTCAATTCACTTGGTTAAACTCAAGTCTGCTCTGACACGTAGAATACAGAGATAATTATTTACATGTTTTTCCAGAACATAATTCATGAATATTCCCAGAAGGCCTTCTGGTCCCAGACCCTAGAAGATGTTGACCAGTATCTGAAATTTGTAATGCCGTGGAATCACTATAATACAAATGCTGACCAAGTCGATGCCTCTCAGGTAAGTTCTTTCTTTTTATTTTTAATTTTAAAATTAGTTATATTTTGTGATAAAAGCTACAGAAATGAGAGAAAACTTCAACAAGCTATCAATGAGAAACTGAGACAAAATTAAATAAAAATCTCTAGAATCAAAATTCAGTTAGGAATCATAGTGCAAACACAGCTATAATAAATGAAAATAAAAATTATACGTTGGATTTACATTGGATTAAAATTTAAATATTCACTCACAACATTTTAGTTCATTCCTGTAACAGTTCTTTGTGTGTGTGTGTGTATGTGTCTGTGTCTGTGTCTTTTTGAAACAGGGCCTCACAGGGGCTGGGGATTTAGCTCAGCAGCATAAGCGCCTGCCTTGTAAAGCAGGCAGTCGTGAGTTCGACCCCTGGTACCGATAAAAAGGAAAAAGAAAAAAAAAAAAAGAGAGAGAGAGAGAGACAGGGCCTCACTATGCAGTTCAGGCTGGCCTTGAGCTCACTTTGTAGCTCAGAGTGGTCTCGAACATTCAAGGATCCTCCTGCCTCAGCCTCCAGAGTGCTAGGATTATAGGCATGCCCACCACACCCAGCTCCTATAACAAGTCTTAGAGATCAAAATAGAAAATATTATTTCCTTTTTATAAAAATAACTGAAATTATAAAAATGCCTGAAACAAGCTGTATTTGCATTTATTTTCCATTTTATTTTTAGAAAGTAACATTTAGGAAAGAGTTTTCTCAGATATGAGAAATCAATGGAAAAACAACAGTGGATTGACAAGACAGAACTGATAACACTAATTCCTATCACCTGTGAGTTAGAACCAGAAGACTTGATGTAAACAAACATATGATTTTAGACAAGTCACTGTTTCCCAGAATAATTTTACAGTTTAATTTTAGATAGATAGCCATGTAATGTTTAAAGATATCTTCATATTATTATGGATGCTCAGTACCTACGCCTATGTTTGCTTATTGACATGACAAAGATTGCCCTAACCATTCCCATGGAAAAAATAAACATTTTGGGGCATTATTTATCAGAAATATTTTTAAAAATGAAATGTGCTATTTCTTTCCTTTTAAGGAGAGACAAGCTTGATTCTTGGATTAACTGTTTTTACCTTGTCTTGGTAAGTATGCCGCTGTGCCTAAAATGAAATGATAATTCAAGCAGGATTTTTATGTGATCACACTGTGAAGAACGTGATTTTAAATCTTTTGTTAAGCACTGTATTTCAGATTTCATTTTAGCTCAAGAAATATTTTAGATTCCAAGCATATCTTTTTGACTCACAAGTGCAAGTTATCATTGCATCATGCACACGTGTGGTTTATAAATATTTCTTAAATAATCAGCAGTGAGCTCCGGTAGCTAATGGCAGGTTCCCTGAAGCCAGGCCCCGGAGGAAACAGTCACAGGGGTACTCTTCACACAGTGTGGCCCCCACCTAGCTGTCTGCCAGGCCGCTCTGACTCAGCATTTCCATTTGCTGAAGATTCCTAACAATCTACCGGACCGCTGGCTCCTTGGCCTCTTCCCTTCAATGGTATAAAGTATTTTGAAAGGCCATCTTGTTATCTACAGAAGCTAACTTCATTACACCAAGACAGTTCACAAAACGCAGCCCAGCCAACACAGGGCCGCGGGTGGGATGAGCCTCCCAGACAGCACCCAGTCACACAAACCTAGAGCACCTCAGGATAAGTCCCTGCTTCTCCCCCACCCCATCCTCTGTCCTCGTCCCTCTCTGCTCCTAGTCAGAGTGGACTGGGAGGTAGTGAATGCTGTCTCAGTGCGGTCACCTGTGCTCTCCTCACAGATGCTATTTTTTAGATCTTAAATATACACTTTAAACATGACAAAGGGGCTTTCAAAAAAATGTAGTCTAGTTCAGTGAATACTTGCCTAATGTACACAACCTGAGTTTGAGCCCTAGCACCCCACGCGTGCATGCACAAAGTAACGTCTATCGTAACTTACTAAGAGCTTATGACTTACCAGCCACAGTTCTAGCCCTGTGCCTATATTAACTAATTTAATGTTCATAAAATCTACGACAAAGCTAATATTATTATTTGAGATAAGGGGACTGAGATCCAATTGGCATTGAATAAATTATTCAAAATAATTTAATAAGTGGCAGATCCAAAAACTGAATACGGGTTTCTAGCACTGGGCTTAAACACTCCACTATTTATGCCAAACCGTACTCAAAGTATGGCTTGGGAGTGCTGGAGAGGGTTTCATTTCTTGTTTCTCTTTTTAATTTTTGTTAATCAGTTTGAGCAAATTGTTACAAATATTCTTTGCTTTGTCCTGTCATTCTGGCACTCTTAAACAGTGAAGAAGGATCAGGTGAGCTAACCTCAACTGAGAAAAATAATAACATAACCATTATGAGTAAGAGCTGAAAATACGGTTGTATTTTACATTTAAAAAACCAATATCCCCTCTGCTGTCATTATCTATCACAAATGCTACGTTTTCTGTAAAAGCTTCTGATGTGCCCCAGGTTTTGAGTAACTTAAGGATAGGGAACTAAGATACCAAACGTACTCTCTTTAAGCCTGTTTAAATAATGACACAGAATGAACACTGCCCTGATAAACACTCCTATAGAGGTAGAATGCAGTAGCACAAGGTTGAGAAAAAATAAGGCACAGGATATTGAACTCACAGAAAAAATATAAAATAAACAAAGAAAACCTGAAAAGTATACCATAACTTTGAATTCACTTTTAAAATGACTTAATGAAATATCCTCACCAAGTCATTTTGCACTATAAAGTTATTTTACTGAAATCTAGATTCTAATTATATCAAAAACTTTAAAATATATGAAGCAGACATATTTTGTTTTCCCAATAAGCTATGCCCAAAATAAGAATAATTAAAACGTTCCTTCAAATTAATATGTAGCTATCATTTATTAAATGCATATAAATACTATTTTATATGGTAGACTGAATACATTATTAACTTATTAATTTGTTCAAATTTACTTTAGCATGAAAAAATTTCCCTTTTTACTTCATAAACTTCATTGAGTCTACCAAGCATAACCACAAAGAACTACTAAAATATTATGTCCAGCTTACATTTCAGGGCCAGACAATACTAACTAATAGTTATAAATGAAAGCAACCGGATAGACCCAGCAGGATATTTGTGTGTGTCCTGTAAATAAGCAAATGTTGACTTTTGGAATATAAATTCAGCACTGCCTTATGCTTTTGCAGGTTTAACTGGAAAATCTACCCTCTACAGTCTCTTTCTCTGCCTTTTAACTTCACGCTCCCAGCATATTTAGACAGACTTACAGACAAGACAGAAATCCTGAGCCAAAGAAGACCCCACAGGGCGCCTTCGGAATTCCAGTCTTTCTGCTGGTCCGTGTCAAATCTGTTGGATCCGTATTGTTGCATAGGAGCTGCGTTGATAACTAATTTAACGTGTTTCTGCAACTTTTTTTTCTGTTAAACCACATTACTTTTCCTCGCAAAATAAAACTCTAAGTGCATCCCTTAGTGCGTGGTTGTCTTTTGCAAAGCTTACGCTGACCCATGAGGCTGCTGATGCTAACAGCAGCAGTCTTTTCATCCCTGACATTCATCATCTGGTGGCTTTCATCACTTTCCCATCACTGGGACAGGGTACCTGACCCTGACTTAAGGAGGAGGGGTTCATTTAAATCAGTTTCCAGCGGGTTCTGTGCAAAGTTGACGAGGTCCAAGGCAGAAACGCGGGATGCAGGAAGACTGCTCATCCCATGCCAGCCAGCAAGCAGAGAGAGCGGGAGGAGCCAGCGCCAGCAGTGCACCCTTTCTGGTCTCTGCCAGGTTGCCTGACTGACTGACCCACCTCAGCATGTGATGCCCCGCACTCCAGCCACCTCCTACACTCTTGAGACTTCAGGGAAATATCTCACATTTAAACCAGAACACATAGCCACCAGAAAAATAATTGTGTATGTTTTGGGGCAGGAAACTTCAGTCTTACTTGCCATAAGCAATAAATCTGAAGACAGCAGATTATACTCCTGTAACCGTAGGGCTCCCAGTACCCTACAGCGGCTCTGACTTAGTCAGCTTTCAGCTGCCACAGAGTTAAACCCAGATCTTCCCCTGACCCTGGGCCCCCCAGGCCACTCCACACCGTCACCCTGTGGTTGGGAGTCAGGCCTGGAGAACATCGGCCTGTAAGCTCTGTTCCTTCCATTCTTCCCCAATACTGGTGCCACCGACTGAAGAGTAAACCAGCAGCTCAGTGTGCACATGGGTTATAAGGGAAGGTACGAGGCCTAAGCATGTCCAGAGAAGACATGGAAGAGACGGAAAATGACAGGAAATAGCATCAAAGAAGAACGAAGAAAGATGAAGGCTGTTTGAGCTTAGGAATTTGTGCTAAGCCTTTGGCTGTGATAGGAAAATATCAGAGGGATGAAAAGACAGTATTTGATGGGTTTATCTCTGACTCCATAAAATACTTCAGTCCCCTTCTAATGAAGTCCCTTCTATTTAGTTCCCAGCAGACCTCAAACTCACAGCGATCCTCCTGCCTCAGCCTCTGAAGTCCTGGGCTTACAGATGTACCCACCATGCCCACCATGGCTCCTTTCTTATGCAGGCTGGTCTCTGAAGAGTTTTTCAGAAGGTGAAATGTGACATATTTTGAAAAGTGGAACAGTTAAAAACTAGAACTTTCCTTCCTCTTTGTGGAAAGCTTAGTATGTAATGTATTACCTGATAGTTGACGTAACTGCTCTGTTACCTACACCAAACCAGCTTTTTCTGCAAAACACTTCTCCCTGTTAAACTGCAAGCCTGTTTCTACAGCCAAACCTTAAAGGATTTTTAAACATTGTTGTTTACTAATGATAGTGAACATTTTATCCTTGTCTAGCTAGCTAGCTGTCTTCCGCAACTCTCCTTAAGCTTCAAAGATTCCTCTGGCCAGGAAGCAATGGTCCTGTCCATAGCACAGCCTAAGATCACAAACTTTACTCACCTGCTTACCTCAATAACCTGAACTGAATCTGAAAATAACTGTAGCTCTCTTTGAGCCCCAAAACGTATGGAACTTTCTCTGATGTTCTTTGAAGCATTTTCTTCATTAATCTATCAGTTTTAGTGATTTACCTTACAGCAAACAGATGAATGATGTGAGGCATGATGGCACAAATCTGTAGTCTCAGCACTCAGGAAGCCGAGACAGAAGGATCACTGTGAGTTCAAGGACAGCCTGCACCACATAGTGAGACTTGACCTCAAAAAATAAATGTAGTGTGACTATAATGCCTGAAACTGACCTGCCAACATCATGAAGTTACATTTTATGCATTTGTCTCCAACTTATTTGTATTAAAATTCTACTACAGTACGTTGCTGGTAGAACTATTAATATTATACCTTGAGATGAGAAAATTGAAGCATAAATGAAACATTTCCTCCAGCTACACTATTCTATTTGGTCCTTTTGATTATGAAGAATTAATTCTTATAATTTCACCAATTCTCCAAGGTATTTTTTATGGATTCCCTTTCTTTACCCAAAGTTTGGTGCTGGGCCACTTCTTTTATAACACTGCATCTGTTTTATATTTGATGGAATCTGTTTGATCCTTACAATTGACATACCTAATCAGCTGATTAAAATCAGTCCCCATTTTCTAGATTCATCTCTAAGTTGCTGGATTTACCCTAAAATAAAACTAGACACATGTACTATATTGTCTCTTGAAAAACCTTTCATTATTGGTTGGTTTCCAAGATTAAAATGTAACATAAGTATAGGCATCATTTCACTTACATTCTCTTTACTAAAAATGCTATCTAGTACTCAAATTATCAAGTTATTTCTTATTTTGGGTACCTAATATTTTATTATTGTTGAGTCATTATTTTATTGAGTTTTATTATAGGCCCTTAATTATATGAGAAATGAATCTAGTGAGTAAAAGGAATCCAGGGACAAGGTTAGAATAAAGCACATGGAATGTAAAACTCCAAGTCATTACTGTTTTGTTAAAGAAGAAATTGAGAGTTGCATTCAATATGGTTGACATCATACCTCATTTTAGAATGGAAGAGCGAAAACAGGTGTGACTAACTGAAATACAGCATTTTTCACAGCTCCTTCTTGTTATCAGTAAGCATCATGGATTTTTCAAAGACTCTCAAACTCAAGATTATCAGCCTCCAGTATGCAGACCTCCTCTGCATGCTCCCTCATCCAACCCTGCAGCTGAAGGTTTCAGTCCAAAGTCACTCATGGCAAGATCCTGTGCAAGTCCGTATCAGGGTCTGCGATGGAAGACTGAAGCATCCAAGGTGGTGACCAGAGAGCTGACGGGATCTGACGTCCAAGCTGAAGGCAAAGACTGGAGGTCCTCCAAAGAACAGAAGCCAGGCAGTGCTTTCTCATTTCCCTTCTGTACCAGGTGATGAGACACCCTACAGTGGGTCCTCTACACTCTAGGGTGTAGAACTGCTGAGCTAACTTAGTTAAGCTTCTTCTCAAGTTAGCACAATCAATCAACTAGAACAGATGGATAAAGATTTTTACTATAATAAAAATATTGAAACATAAAACAGATATAAAAGCCTAACCAGGGGCTGCATATTTATGGCAAAATATTTAGAAACATATCTTTTTGAAATATATATCTTGTAAATTAAGTGTCAACATTTTCAAGAGCATAACAGTCATTCGCAAAAGAAAAATACCTATTTCCATTACTGTGGAACAGCAGCATGCCTTCTGGGCCACTGATCTTCTAAAATCTACAGTTCATGGAATGTAATATTGTATCAAACAAAAAAGTTATTCATATGCTTACCATTTGTTATTTTTTCCAACTGTTAAACATAATCCACAGACTTTTATCTCTTGTTAATCACAAAATAATGAATTTAGTGACATCTATTTTTAGTATTCCATTCTAAAATAAGGTATCAATCAAATTAAATGCAGGTTTTCAACTATTTCATTAATAAAAATATAATGAGTTGAAACTTTACAGATGATCTATAATAACTTTGATCCTAGAATCCTTTTATCCACTGGATTACATTTCTGAGATACCTCGGGTCCTATTCAATAACAGTAGTGTAAATAACTAAGGGAAAGAAGGAAGAAAGGGTGGAAGAAATGGAGGAAGAGCAAGAAGGAGAAAAAGAAGAAGGAAGAAGGGGACAGTAATAGAAAAGAAAAAACTACAGGAAGGGAAGAAGGATATAAGCAAAAATAGAAAGGAAAAGGCAAAATTCTGAAAATAAAAATTACCAATTGGCGGCTACAGTTGAAGAAGAAGAAAACAGTTGACTACAAAAGGGTCACACGTGGAAGTTAGAGGGAGGTAGAATTCTTATGTGCAGTGAGGTGGTGGACACATCACTAACAACTTGTCAATACTTAGCCATTAAGAAGACTAAGCCATTAAAAGTATTATCAATCACAATCAAGTAGCACACTGTTACATATACATGGTGTAGCTGCATCAGAGAGTGTAGGAGGAAAGCAAATCACCCAAGAAACTTTAAAAGTGCCTTGATATCATGCTGGGAAATGAAGAAACAGTAAAAAGAATATTTGCTAACTTATCTTCAGATAGCTTCTTTGAACTGTAAATTATTTGAAGGTATGAATCTTAATTTTCAAATATTTGGTAATTTTGTATGCTTTTTCATCTTAATATTAGCTTAATTGTACTGGGTTGACAAGATGCTTCATAGAATTTTATTATTGCGTTTAGGATTGTCACCTGATGACAGATATGTTCCTTGTTGTGGTTTGGTTCTTGTGATCCTTAGAACACTGTGTATTCCACTGCTGTTCAGCAGAGCATTAAATAAATGTCAGTCATATCCAGTTCAAAAGCGTGGATCAGACCATTTTTCTTTGTTGATCTTTTCCCTCAGGTGTTTTTCAGAAAAATTTCTCCTTTATTTGAAAGATATTTTTCCAGGACATAAAATTACATGTTGACAATATTCTTCCTTCATCCCTGTTAGCATATTATTTTTTTCTAACTTACACAGTCTTTAGTAAATTGCTATACAATGATCTTTATTTTTCTGTAGGTAATTTGTGTTTCTTATGTTGCTATCTTCCAATTTTTCTTTGTTTTTGTTTCCCAGCAGTTTTAATAATATAAATAGTGTGTGTGTGTGTGTGTGTGTGTGTGTGTGTGTATGTGTGTGTGTGTGTTAGATGGCCTTCCTGTTGCTAAGACACAGTACAGAACACTCACAATTTTTGGTGTAAGGTTTAATTCAGTGTGTGATGTCTAGGGATGTAGTTCACGTTTGGCTGCTCCAAGGCAGAGACATTATGGTGCAGGTGGCTAATGGATCAAAACTGTTTAGTTCATGGAGGTTTGGAAGAAGAACAAAGAGCTCTACCAGAGAGAAAGGGGCCAGGGAATACAGGGACTACATTTGGTACCCAAGGTCTCACTCCAAGAGCCACCAAGACACGCCCACAAGTGCACCTGACTAATCATCTAGCTATGTGTGGGTGGGTAGG